CAGGGTACTCACACCACCTTGGAATCAACATAAACAACACATCTTGAACAGCAGTTACAAGAAGGTAGGTAACTTTTTTGTGGCACTTGGCTCTTCATCCATGTCACATTAATTTGAGAATCAGTTATACATTACATTTAACTCAGTCAAACCTACAAGAATGTTCCAGAAGCAAATAGTGAAGTACATTTTAAAAAGGACACAGAGAACCTTTAGAAAAACAAGCTGGAGCATAAAAACTCAATCATTAGGAGATTGGTGGGAATGGACTTTCGAGTCCTCACTCATGTGGTTGCATTTGTGGGGCGATAGGGAGGGAGAGTAGCAGTTTATCCCTTAACTATTGACGTTTTTAAATTTAAACCTTTTCATATACTTGAGTCTAAATTTAGAAATGATTACAATTATGATCAAATGATTTTGATGAGAAAAATAAATAAAAACATGTCTTGTTTTTTGCTTTGTTTTTTCCCCAGAGGTTACCTCCATTTGAAACATTTTCTCAGGGACCTACACTTCAGTTTACCCTTCGTTGGACTGGAGATACAAATGATAAATCTACAGCTCCTATAGCCAAACCTCTTGCAACACGTAATTCAGAAAGTCTCCCTCAAGAAAACAAGCCTAGTTCTGTTAAACCTACTCAGACTATAGGTAAGGAAACTCCTGGTAACATGAATAATTGGGTCACTGATACGTTTAGTTTTTAACGAGCTCCTTCTATAATGAAATGCCTAGTTTCAGAATTCCTCATTGCTGCATTACTGAAGTTTTAATAAACTCGAAACTTGTGAGGTGCCTTATTACATCACTGAAGCTATAAAGGATTATGTGAAATCACTGCAGCTGAAGCAAGTTGGTTGTGTGTATTGGTTTCCCTAAATTATTTTTTGTAGGATTATAATTTCATTTGAGTCAAGTATTAGCTCAGAATGCTTCAGTTAGGAAAATTACTTGTTGAAATGTTCAGTTTCATTCTCATTTTAATTTATAATAGAATTGAAGACTTTTAATGGATTGCTGTAGTTATAAAATACTGTCATTGAAAATAAGTAGATTCAAAAATAAAAATTAATTTTGACTCTATAGTACTCAGTGCAGTGTTGATGGCACAGTTGGTGTTTATCTGTTATATATTTTGAAAAGCTTGTGGATTTGTTTGTGCAAAGTAGTCATACTTTGTGATAACCTACAGATACTAAATTTTGAATAAACAATCCTGCCATTTAAATTAGCTAAATGCACTACTTTTTACACCGGGATATATATGCTGGGTGGAAGGTTTAAATATTTTTGTTTTTCATCGGGGAAAAGGTCATGACTATTATGATTAGAGTTCATAAAAATATTTGCTAACAAAATTGCTTCACCTATTCAGCTGTCATATTAGTGCAAAAAAATCTTTACTGTTACAAATCACAAAATTCAAATTAGTTACAGAAATAGTAATGGAAGTTTTACGAGTTTCTGATTCAAATTTACTATGTATGGTAAATATTCAATAAAATTAATAATGTTTGAAGTTGAAATCCTACAAATTTTAAACTGTTCTTTTACTTCCCTTTTGCAAGCACTTTAATACATTCTATTACATATATTTAATTACTTGAACTTTCCTATGATTATAATCTATGTAAAATTATTTTGCCTGGTGAATGATGGGCCTGATCTGCTAGTATATAATAAATGGCACTGTTGTGCAAATAGAATTTTAAGTCACTTTTGAGCCAGTATAATCTGGCAAAACCTGTTTTATCGTAATCATGTGATAGTCACTACATACATAATAGACTTTTTTCAGTTTTCTGGCATAGTTAAATTGCTATAATTTATATGAACTAGTATTTCTTCTTCAAGTGGTTGCTCATGTCCATTCGAAGTAGGTGTGCGCGCCGCGTGCACCACGTCTTCCGGAGCGTTTTCCCTAGCGGTACCCGTAGCGCCGGCAGGGCGCCCCCTGGAGTGGCGCCGCCATGGCGGGGCATAAGTACCCCTGCCGGCGCTGCCCCACCTCAGTTCCTTCTTACTGTCGTGTCGGTCGTTGGAGCGTCTCTCTCTCTCTCTATAGCTGTTAGGCTTAGATAGGTTAATGGTTCCCGTTTCTCACTTTGTAAATAGTTGTGTAGTTAGATAGGTTTTTTGTTTTGTTCCTTGCCCCCTTGGGGGTGAGGAATGCCAGGGCCACAAGGCTTTAAAACGTGCGCTGACTGCGGGAAGTTTATGCCTGGGGCGACCCACACGACAGATGCCTTAGGTGGCTGGGTGAGGCCCATTTGGCAGTAGCCTGCAAGATCTGCAAGTCTTTCAAGCCTTGTACCAGAAAGGACAGAGTTTCCCGCTTGAAGCTTCTCCTTATGGAGACGGCGCTTCAACCGGCACCGCCGGACCAGCCTGCGGTGCGCAGCGCACTGGCCTCCACGCGCGAGGCCATACACCGGCACTGGGCGTCGGCGGCAGGCTCCCGGCACCGGTCTCACTCTCCCCCTTCTAAGAGGGTGAAGAAGTCCCAGGGCAGGTCCCCGTCCAAGAAGCCGGCGTCAGCTGGACACCGCACCGCTAGCTCACCGGTGCGTGCCTCCCCTCTGGTGCACCGTCGGCACCGAGGGGGGCTAGCGAGCCCGGGCCGCTTGCCCTCTCATCGTCTGTCTACGCCGGACACCGCCTAATCAGCCTTACCACCTCCCCGCCGTCGTCGGTTGACTCGGACGAGGTCACCCATGGGGCAAGCCCCAAGGGCACCGCTATTGCCCTTGCATGACCAGGGTCGGCATACTACAGTGGCATGTGTGTCGGGACCAACCACGCCGGGTTTGGCTCCCACTGCTACTACGGGCTCCTTCATGACGCCGGGTCGTCATGCCCAGGGAACCTCGAGCCATGGCAGGCCTTTGCTCTCCGAGTTGCCAGAGCCCCGCTTGGCCGTACCGGTGCCATACTCCCAAGGCTATCTGGCTTCTCAAGAGTCGACATCCGTCTCCGTGCCGTCATTGGCACCGGTTTTGACTCAGTGGTCCACCCCGGTACCGGGCATGGGCACCCCGCTACCACGACAGTCGGACATGGCTCGGTCGGCATCGAGCCTGGGCACCCCGGTGCCTAACCTGCAGTCAACACAACCGGCACCGGGCCTAGGCACCCCGGTACCGCAGCCCCAGGCGGCACCGCTTCCACTCTTTCGCCCATCGCAACCGGCACCGAGCTTAAGCACCTCGGTACTGCAGTTACTGGCAACGCAGCCA